CTATAATTTACCAATGGTAATTTACTAGCTAACAACTCTCAGGAATATAAAAAGGTTCTATATAAAATAAACTTTATAATAAATATATTATACTGCAGTTAAAGATATTAAGAAAGTTAGATATAGTCAAAAATTTGTCAATTGGTTTAAGAATATGACTCAAGATTTAGCTTAAAAAATCTTGTATTTGTCACAAAAGTTTTTCAATACATCTATATCTTTGAAAGTACTTGAGAACTCAATTTATAAAAAAAATCTAATATCTAAATGTTTGCAATTTTTTAAATAATAAACTTTCTAATTTTTTTTAATTATTTGCTAGCGAAGATGCTTTGAGAGCATCATCTTTCTGTATTTGACTTGAGATATTTGTGCTAGTATAATATTTATATGCATTAATTACTTGATCTTAAATTACATATATATACAATACATATATATATCAATTTATAGAATCTATTATACCAAAATCATAAACTTAGCCGAATTGGCCAAAAAATCATTTAGCTAATTTTTATCAGCTTTTCAAAAATTATGATAATAGTTGTAAAGCATTTTTTTTATTATTAGATGTTCTGTTGTGAATTTAATGCACCAATTTGGGTCTCTCTTGGATCAAAGCTTAATGTATTTCTTTTTTGTCATTAAATATTTTGTTTTGAATATGATGTATCAAATTTGGGCCTCTTTAGAGCCAAAGTTGATGTATTAGATTCAAATCTAATATATTGAATTTAAATTTTTACTTGTTATGTAAAATGATCATACTTTAATTTATATTGCAGTAGGATTACAGTACAGTATGATTTTATCACTTGCTAAATAAAATAGTTACTGAATATTATATATCTATATAATTTGATCTAAATCTAAATTGCTATTGATAAATGAATATAGTATACATTTCAGAATGTGGCAAAGCATAAATTAATTTTTAGAATTTGGGCTCTGTAGCTTATTGGTTAAGCTCACAAACAAGATCAATAGTTTGAGTCAGGCTGGTAGCAAATTATTAATTTACTACTGTAACCTATTGGAGCCAAATTAGATACAAAGCCTTATAGAAGTTCATATGCAAGTGCAAAATTAGATTAGAAATTTTAAGAAAGAGACTCAATTGTAAAGTATAGGTACTATATATAGCAGCAGTACTACAGAAGATTAAAGTTACTAAAGAACGTGTATATAAGTCTGTGTAAATATACAGTACCAGTATTTTTATACTTCTAGTTTAATAATACCAATATCTCTGTACCCAATATGTAGAGAACTTGATTGGAAAGATAATTATTAGATTGCATATATAAGTTCTAAACTAGTATCACAGTACTAGATTTGATTGGGAGAGTGATACAACAATAACTAAAACTAGAGTAGTAAGAGAAGTGGTAAATATGAGAATGGTCTGTGATAAAGAATTAGTCTTACCAAATTTGGAAACACTTCTAGCATATACATAGAATGATTAGAATTAGAAGGTTCTAAATATAAAATAATAGTTTTTATTTAGAAAATATGTAAATACTCTAAATAGCTAGAGCATACTAAACTGAGAGTACTATGTATAAACAGATATCAAGAGTATACCAACTTTAGATTACCAACCAAGTCGAAATATTCAAGTTAAAAGTAATTAAGATTATAAAATCTTGTTGGAAGTAACACTTAGATGTTATACAACATAGCCATATCTAACCAACTGCAAAAATTTCTGTTTGACAATAAAAAACAGTATATAAGTATAAATAAATAATTATAAGAGCCGTAGAAGCTAGTATCCTGAAGAAAAAAAAAAGTTTCAAAAAGGGTATCAGTAGATAAAGACAAAAGACAGGCCAAAGAGCTGTGAGTCTAGATCTGAAGAATAAGCTAACTAATGTCTACTACAAATTAGAAAGTAATTCAGTTACAAGATCTTAGTTGTAATAACTATTTGGAAGTATATTTGTGGCTTATGTGAGTAATATGAGATATATATATATAAAATACTAAAAAGAATAGTTAGAAGTACAAAAATTCTGGATAGATTCAAACAGATACAACTTTACTAGATAGAGATTTGGTGCAGGATAAATTAGTTCTAATCTAATATAATATTAAATAATAAATTATAACTATTATTATACAGTTTATTTATCGCAGTTTGCAAATTGTTGTTCTATTAATCAGTAGAGATATGATTATTAACAATTGCAATTACAATCTCAATTGTAATTATAATTACAATTGCAATTACAATCACAATTATATATTTAAAGTTTACTTTGGTATCAAATATATCTTTTTTATTACATATATATAAAATTTACATGGTTAGCAAAAAGTATTTTGTTGAGACTTGCTTCAGCTGTGCTATATATCTTTATTTAAAGAAGATACCTTGCTTATTTTATACAAATATGATAAAAAATTATTACCAACTACACAAAATTGAACAAAACTAGTTCTATAGACTTTTACAATAATCTATAATTATAGCTTTATTAAAAAACAAAAAGAATTTTAAGAAAAGTTAAAATTAAAATTTAATTATAATACTAAATTTACTAAAAATTTTAAGTTTTTATTTTGTCTATCTTGCAATAATAAGTAATATCGAATGAAATTTAAATCAAAAAAATAAAAGTAATAAAGTTAAAAAGAGTTAAAACCTAGATAATAAAGTCAAATAAATAGAAAGTCTAAATGACAAAGTTGAAAGGTTGAAAATATAAGTGATGAAGTTAAGAAAATTAAAAGTCTAAATAATAAAGTTAAAAAAATTAAAAGTTCAAATGATGAAACTGAAACAATTGAAAGTAAAAAAGTTAAAAGGATTGAGAGTTCAGAAGATAAAAATGATAGTACAAAAATAATCAAAAATTTAAATGATAATATTAAATTTTCAGATTAATCTAAAATAAAATTTACTCAAGATTACTATATATTAGCATATAAAACAATAAAAGAATTTAGAGCTGGAACTTAAATTCTTAATAAAACAGATTTTAATTTTTTTATTCAAGAGTATATTTGTACTATTAGTAAAGAAAAAAAGATACTTATAAATATTAAAATGCATCCAATTCCTGCTTTAGCTATAACAATAATACAAAGAAATATTCAGTATAATTAATATATGAAGTTGATACTTCATTTTCTATTACCTGGTTTTTAAAATCTCAGTTAATAGAAATTTTTTTTTAATATACTGTAAATTAATAGTTTTATGTATATACCTAAGATTGTGCAAAATTAGGATTTCAATTTTTATATCAAAGGATTTGATCAGGTAATAGAAAATAAAAAATTAATTTTGTATAGTCTAATCTTAATATAGTTTAAAATTTATTAATAATTATCTTAGATACTTGATAAAATAATAATGATAACAATAAAACTTCTAAAAATAAATATACAAAATTATTTAGGGGTGTGCCATTTATCACATAATATTTTTTACTTAGTAGCCACCCCCATCCATTTATGGTGTGATCACCACTAGCTTGATTCTAATTGGCTGATTTAATTAATTATTAAAAATCTTCTTAATATTTTTAAAATTGAATAACTTTTGATCTATTGGTCCGATTTGGATGATTTAACAGTCAAAATGTTCACCTTGATGAGACGATTCTAATGAGTCTAAAATCGCTAAAATATAATTACAGGATCCTGAGATCGTTAAGGTTTTTTGTACTTTCGTATATAATAAAATTAATTTTATTATATACAAAATAGTACAAGAAACTTTAATGATCTCAGGATTCTGGAATTAGATTTTAGCGATTTTAGACTTATTATAATCGTCTCATC